GTAACATGCTGCACATGTAATGGTTTAATTTTAGACACCTTAACCAAACGGATACCAATGGAAGAGGAGAAAAAGTACGAATTAGATTCAGCAGACTGGGACAGATTGTAACATTTTGCACGTGCCCTTACCTGCTGCAACAGCAGAGAGGGATAGGATGAAATGAGTGGAGGAGGACAGGAAGCAGCAGTGCATTGTGGGAGAGGGCATGAAGGGGTGGTCAATGGGATGGAATGAGGGAAATGGAGAGATGAAGAGTGAGGCTGCACAGACACAAGTCATGAAGAGAGAGAGAGAGAGAGAGAGGGAGAGAGCAAATTGGATTATGGAGTAGAATGGATAGGTTGAAGAAGATCTTCAAGGTGATGCTCAAGATTCTTTTATCTGAGCTTTCAAAATTTTGGTTTTCTTTGGCGAAGCTGTGCCAAGAACCTGATCTGACTCAAATAAAATCATAAATAAAAAAACATCTATGATGAATCAGTGATCCCAGTGTCACTCAACATAATTTGATCCAGTTGATCCAGTGTGCCAGTTACTTTAGGCTAATTAGTTATTTTTATATAACCAAATATATGTATATTTTTATACATAGCAATACTGTCTATTGTATTCTCTCTTGTCTATAGTCTGTGGAAACACAGCTGGATTTCCATACAAACTTGCACAAATGACAGTAAACAACAATGACTTTTGATGATTAAAATGTTCCTGTGTGACGCTAATCGAGTGCAACAGTCCAGAAGTAAAAACTCTTCTCTATAGGAAAATGTATTTTTAACAACAACTTATAAACCTTTAAAGACGGGTTGTGAGCTCTGAGGTTGTTAATCGACAGTAAATGATTTTGTTAAAGCCATCTGTTCACATTATTTTTAGAATCAAGTTTAACAGTGGAAATCATGATGAAAAACTACATTACCCATAATTCGGTCCAGAAAATTCCACCAATCAGAGAGTTGTGTTAAGCAAATCACACCAAAAGAGCTCAGCAGTAATCAACGTCGACCTTGACGTAATCGAGTCGATCTAGCTCATTTTCAAATGCTTTTTTGCTTCAAATAAAAGTTTGTGATGTAGTGATTCACCTTCAGCTGGTTGGCTTGGTTCATGGCTTATAATGCTTTAACAAATACTTTTTTTTTTTTTTAATCCCTATGGGAAAAATTTATGAAAAAAATACTTCTGGAACCAATGCTGCTAAAAAAAGTGAACAGGCACTAATCTATATCATATTTGTAAATGTCTCAGGAAAAAGCACCTTAGAGCTTTTCACTGATTCTCTCTTTTCTTCACAAAGCTGCATGTCTAGCTGCCCAGTCTGAGGTATATCCATTTTATTAGGGGTGGAGGAAAGAGCGGGACAAGGACATGAGTTGATGTTGATTCATTAAAGGCTGTTAAATGGGCAAGCAGTATTAGGAGTTAAATTGTATTAGAGATGGAAAGAAGCACGTTAAGTAATGGCAGGCACTGTTGGAGGACAGGGGACAAGATTAGGAAAGGACATGGGAGGACTATTGTAGGGAGTGGTAATGCATTCTGGGATTGGTGGGGTTAATGTGGAGATGGATTGGAAGGTCAGACAGCAGAGGAGACAGTCTGTCCAGAACAGAGATAGCTTGAACATTCAATATGAACTGAGAAAATCGGATTACAGGACACTCATTACTCAAAGGAAATGTATTGCTCAGATGTTGCTCTTTTAAATCTCAGGAGGCCTGAGTTCTTAGTTCTTAGATAGGATTTCTTATAGGTTTATGTTTAACTAACTTGATCTCAGATGTTTCTCAGAAAATTCCACGGTAAAAATAAACACAAAAATAGACATAAATGAAATGAGCAGTGAAATTAATATGGAGAGATGCAGATCATTTAATCTTAGAGTAAATAAGACATGAGGGTGAGTAACTGATGACAGTAATTGATTGAATGATCCCTTTAATTCTCCATTTGCGCTTATTTTTTGCCTATGAGAAACAACTGAGATATACATTTTTGTTTTTTCTTTTCTGTGGGTACATATAAAACATATGCTGCTTTATGCAAAATCAGGAAACCTGCAACATACATGATGTTAATTATGTGACTTTCCTTGTGGAAAATGTGAAAATTATACTTCAGATTTAGCAGTCGTTTGAAGGTTCTAAAGGACTGTTCAACATATGTTAGTCACTCTTTGGAATGTTTTCAAAAGCTAAATATGCTCAACTGGTTCATAGAAATTACAAGGAGGAGCATCTGGCCCGCACTTTAATGACGGATGACAAAACCCAGAACATCAGTGTTATGAAGCCGAAGAAATGCACATATACAGAGTCATTCACACACACTGAGAGAAGAGCTAGGATCAGTTTTTGCAGATAGTTTATATTTTGTTATCTAATGAACTAGTGTATTTTTTCGGCCACTGCATATTCTCACAGAAACACTGCTAGGAAATATAATAAATGCACAGAGAATAAGTATGTTTGAATCATCTGTGGACACCTGGACTGATGGTTTCTCCTTATGTGTGCAGTAAAAAAAGCAAAGCAGCTTCTTTTCCAGTCAGACAGATCAATTTAAATGCTTACAGGACCCCTGAGCATGCAGGTCAGACCCCTTTATACAACCAAGAGAGCCATGTGAAAGTCACCAACCCTCTTGGTTCTCTCACCTGCCCATTAAAGCTCATAAAAGAATTGAGAGAAAATATTTATTCCAACAATTTCTTTAAAGAGCAACCAAATACGTTATGATGTCTACTGGCATTCGTTGACTTTATTAACTCTTTTAAAGTAAAACAGGTCGTTTGAATGAATGAGTGTACGTCCTCAGCTGACCCACATCTGTTCTGCTAGACAGATTATTAACCAATTATGGCTGAGCAGGGGTTCAGGGAATGAATTACTGAGTATGCGATGATATCTGCAAAGACTGCAGGTGCATGAAACGATGCTCAGTCACTCAGTGATCACAGGCCAAAACTGCAGGGCATGCAACTGAGTGAGGAAAGCTGACACATGCGGTAACATAGTCACCTGATCTGGAGAGCAGGCCTCGCCAGGGAAGAGAGCGCTCAAATGCACAGCCTTCTCCTTTATGCTTTTTTTATGAAACTCCCTGGCCTTTTGAGTCTGGGCTTTCCTCTGAGTGAGGCCGGTAGAAAGAAAACAGCAAGACAAAAATGGAAGAGAATAAAGACTGTGGTTAGATCTGTGTCCACTAATGTGTTTGACATTTATTATTAAGTCTGTCAATAGAATTATGATTATTGTCATGCTTTTTTAATGCCGTTAACTTGATTATTTTCACATTTTAAATTGGTTAAAATTTTTAACATTTACAAGAAGTAACATTTATATTTAATTATCAGGGAATGTATTTTTGTTAAAGATCCCATCTGGAATTTATTTATAAATAAATATTCTATTACAAAGTCTTCCTAACAACATATGAACAGTTTTTCATAGCTCAGTCTTTAGAACTGGACAGAACAGAATGAAACAGTTTTAATGTCAAAATAAATGGGACATTCTATGAAATGGGTGCATTTTCCACTTTGAAAAGATGAATTAAATGCATTTCTGTTTGATTTTAGACATTTAGTATTTAAAGAGTTTAATACTTGAGTAATAATAAATAGCACTGCACCATTTCAGGGAAAATAAAAACTCAATATAGGTTGGGATAATACTAGTCCTTTAGAAAAGTTAAAAGGATAGTTCTTCCAAAAATTAAACGTATCCCTTTAATGGTAACAGGGTTGACTTGTTTTTACTGTTTATATTATTATTATTATTGGCATGCTTATTAAAAATGGAACTGAATGATCCTGTTTTCAATAATCAATTCTTGACTAAAAAAAATCATGGTAACAGGGTTGAAATTTTAAGATCTGTCTCCTGACAAACAAAATGTAGTGATAAAAAGGAACATTTACTACTTCCAAGGTACTATAATGTAATTGTGAACAGTATGTTATTTTAATAAGAGATTCTTATGACGGTAACAGAGATGACACTAATCCCAGGAAAACGTCAAGCATTTTAAATAATATATTTGTTTACTTAATATTGAAAGAAAGAATAAAGACAAAATACTAGCTTTTATGTCCATGTTAATGAGGGACAAAAGCAGCACCCATTATGGAGAATGTTCCACCTGCATTCAATAAATTTAATGAGTGGCAGGTGGCTGTACTTTCTGAGTCGGCTGTGTTCTCTGCCTCTGATTGTTTGTGAGTGTGTGTGTGAGTCGGGTGAAGTGGTTTCCTCCGTGGATTCAGAGGACTGGAATGAAGCTAGGGGAAGAGAGGAGCTGAAGGCTCTTCAGTGTGTCGTACACAGGCAACGGACAGAAACTGTGAACACACAGCACATGTGGGCAGCGCAGGGTATGGGCTGTTATATTGATAATACACAAACTTGGGGAAAATTTGGAGTGTATCTACAGCGAGGCAGAGATTCACACTGTGAAATTTAATGGTGGCATTTACTGTATGCTAAATTACTCATTACACCCTTAAAGGGATAGTTCACCCAAAAATGAAAATGTGATGTTTATCTGCTTACCCCCAGGGCATCCAAGATGTAGGTGACTTTGTTTCTTCAGTAGAACAACACAAACTGAGATTTTTAACTCAAACAGTTGCAGTCTGTCAGTCCTATAATGTCAGTGGATGGGAATCACGGCTTTGAGAATTTTCATTTTTGGGTGAACTATCCCTTTAACGTTCCAAAAAGGGGTTTTCGCAGGAATGCAACAAAAGAACAATTTTGGTTCCCCAAAGAACTTTTGGTAACACTATTTTGATATTCCACTTTAGACATTTAACTACCTATAAATAACTTTGCAACTACATGTCAACTAGCAGTCATTAGAGTATTAGTAGACTGTCTGCTTAATATCTACTAACTGATAGTCAGTAGATCGTCTGTTGAGTGACCATCAAAATAAAGTGTAACTTTGCAAATACGGCAACTTATTCTACTAACCCTAACCTAACAGCCTACAAATGCTCTAATGAGAGTTAGTTGACATGTAGTTGCAAAGTTACTTACAGTTAGTAGAATGTCTAAAGTGGACTATTGAAATGAAGTGTAACCAAACCTATAAGATAACAGTTTTTAGAAAACATTTTAAAGAACATCAAAAAAAAAAAAAATCAAAACCTTTTTCCACTATAAAGAACCCCAAGCTTCCATGGATGTTAAAGGTTCTTCACAGAAACACAGGTGCCAATAGAGAACCTTTATTTTTAATAGTGTAGAGTTTTAAAATGTTTAAAAAGATGAACATTACCAAAAAATAATCTAATAATAGATTATGTGACAGCTAATACCAGGTGATAAATGGTACTTTTTTTTATAAGTGTTGTTTGTAGGTGTACATTCTACCTGTTTTTTAGGGGGTGGAGGTGGTGGGACTTTCTTCTTGATAATGTTAAAGAGAGGGCTATCAGTCATATCAAGCGACGGAGGTTTTGGAGGCCTCTCATCATTAGAGTCAGACTGAAATCATTATACCAGGAGCAGTTTCAGAGAAAAGGAAGCCAGGGTCAGAAGGACAGATGGAAGAAAAGAGAAAGAAGAGATTAACTAGGCACAGAAATACTCGGATCACTCCAAGTAAAGAGGTTCTCCAAAGCCAAAATGTAAAAGAATAGTTAACCCCTAAAATTTCTCATTATTTTTTATATAATTTGAAACCAATATCCCTTAAACTGCCCAGACCCGTATCTTGATGTCAAACCTTGTACAACACATCATGATGTAAAATATTTCAAAGTTTGTGAAAGATACTTTAGAGGACCAACAGAGATGTTCTGTAAATGACAAAATGGGCAAAAAAAATTTAGTCCGTTACAAAAATCTATTGTATGGTAGGTAATACCGGTATCACCATGGGGGCAGGGGCGTTCCCTCTTTTCCTCGCTTTCCTTTGCTTTTAAATAGCTTGTAAAAGCGGCGTGCGCATTTTACTTTCACTTTCAAATAGCGGCAATTTGGCGTAAAACAATTGTTCGTTTTTAGTTCATTTGAATTTTCCCTCTTTTCCTCGCTTTCCTTCGCTTTTAAATAGCTTAAAAGC